AGATATTTATTAAAATATGATGTAAACAACTTGTTTACATCATAATTTATGTTTTTGTTTAGACATTTCGCGTGATCTGTTTCAAAATCTAAAAAAAAAATTGTCATTTTTTTCCGTCAGAACTGTATATATAGTAATTTACAAAAAAAATAATTTTTTAAATCACGTTTATTTAATAATAGTTAACTTTTATAATATATCATTTTAAAGTCAATAATCAGTATATTATTACACCTAAAATTGATATGCAAAAATAATTTTTTTTTTATTAAGTGCGGCAGTCTTGCATGATCTTTATTAATATTTATGAAATTATAAGAAAAACAAAATAAAACAGAAAATACAAAAATATCTATAAATTAATCTAGTAAACTAAACTACTTTATTGTTTGGAGCGAAACGTAGGATTTTATACTTTTAGGAATTAGTGTAAAAATCTGATCATCACGTGAAATTTTCTCTTGTCACACCGCATATACAATAATAATCAAAGATCAAAATAAATAAAATTTAGTTGCACAATCACATCCTATGTGATAAATAAAAACAGTCATACAAAGATATATAGATCATCTCTTTTTGTTTTATTTTTTTTGTTTCTTTTTTTCCGTTTTTTTTTACCACAATTTTAAAATTATAGTAGTATTATATTATATAGAGTTTTATTTCATTATAAAGACTAGAGTTTATATGTAATAAAATCAAAGCTTTATTTAATCAAAATTTTATTTTATTTTAAAAACAAAGTTTTATTATTTGTATATTGCATTGTAACTAATTCAATCTCCAGGAACCATAGAAATCAAGCGGTTTTCTTCTTCTTTTCTCTCACTTAATCTTTTGTATTCTTTGATACGCTTTAATCTCTCAAAATTAAAGGGTTTGAAGAGGATGTCTCCAAGTTCACGGACTCGAGACACTGTAATAAACGAAAGACCAGCTATAAATTCTTTGTTACCAAGATCTATTACAGCTTTTTGTAATGTGAGTCCTTGACTTTTGTGTACTGTAATGGCTCACGCAAGACGAAAAGGAACTTGTAGGCGTAAACATAATGTTTCAGATTTACCCTTTCAGATATGTCGAATAGGTACAATAGGGACAACTTTTGTGCTCTTTAAGCTGGTAATAGTAGGATCTTCGTAATTGTCAAAAAAACGAAAACTGCTACAAAAAGAGAAGGTGGCTCCTGGCCTTCTCTGAATAGAATATCCTGAACAGTTCCTATTGCACCATTGACTAATCCAGCTTTTGTCCACAAGTTTGAAGTTAACATAACACGCGCATCTCTTACTAACAACAATTTTGCTTTAAGACCATATACAATGTCAGAGTCAGCTCTTTTGGCTTCATTGCCACCTGTATGCACTGCAAGAATTTTTACAACAGGAACATCTAGAAGCCTAAGCCGTTCTATATTGACAGCATTAACATCAGACCACTTTGTCAAGATAAACATAGTATTGAAGAATCTACTACGCTCTGCTCTGCTTAGTTCACTTTCAAACCATGTAATAAGTATCTTCCAGTCATCTAATGTAGATTCTCCATTACACAACCTTAAAAGGAGATCTCTGAAGTCTTGTTACTCTTTACTACTTCCAGATTGGCGCTGAATAACATTAAGTTTGTATGCTTCTTTAAATTGCTTGTACACTGCATAACCGTTATTAAACATCAGATCTCGCGAATTTTTTACATACATGGAAAGATCAAGTACAGACAGAAGTTAGCCGAAATCACTAAAAAAAATAATCGATCTACCTCCAAAAGGCTCGTTACTATGTTCAGGAAATGCCTGTTGTAATCTCATGTCGATTAGACTAAGCATTTGGTGTTCAACTATACTTTTCTCATCGATTACTATATAGATCACATCTTGTAATTTCTTTTGTAACTACTTCAATCGTTCACCACTTATGTCAAGATTTTTATTAACAATTATTGGAATAAAAAGTGCCGAATGGATCGTAACTCTATTGATGTTGAAAGCTGCAACACCTATTGGTGCAAGAACAAGTACAGGTGACTTAGATTCAGTTTCTCTCATCTCGTGAAGCTTATCTTGGATTGCATTAATAGGATAAGTTTTTCCAGTTCCTGCAGTCCCCATTACGATAATTCTTAATGGTTCAACTTAATGGCCTTTGAGTATATTGTTGTAATGAGATTCTATTCTAGTGTTTAGACCCACAAACCATTAATAACGGATAAAAACAGATATCCGTTATTATCGGATATCCAGTTTGAAATTTATTAGACAGATTATCATCCGGGTTTAAAAAATTATTAACAGATTTAACCAGTTAAATATAATAACGGATATCAGATATCAGATACTTAATATTAATCTGGATGTATAATGGGTTATCGGGACTAATGGATTAACATTACACTATTACAGCATGCCATAATAAAATATAAATTATTATTATTAGTACTAGTATCATGATTCTAATGTTAGGTACATAATATGTAATTTTTGAATAACGGATTACCTACTGATCGAAAAAAGATATGTATTAAATTATGACTAAAATTATCATAAACAAATTAAACAAATTGTGCAATGATTTAGGTAGTGTATTCACTACATACTGCTTGTTAAGACGATCATCAAAAAAATTCACGATTTCATTAATAAATATTATTCAAAGCTATTAGTTATTAAGTGAATATTTACTGTATAATTGAATTGGTAAAAATATATTCAATTTTCATCATCAAATTTTAAATATTCATAAATATTTATTATCCAAAACTAATAAATAAAAAAAATATTATCTATATTATAGACGCATACCTAGTATTCAGGCTCGTTATCTGATATAAAATTTGATTAACCAGATATTAAAATTAGCTATCAGATATAACGATTAAATCTGATAAAGAATATCAGATAACTATAGCATTTAAATAGGTTATCGGATATCTGATTATAATAAACGTCAAATTAGATAATGCATAAACTTTTTTTTCTTTTTTTAGTTACTTTTTTTTATAATATGAACGATACAAGTAATATAAGACAAGATAGTCCTTTGACTTCTGAAGAACAACCAACAACAAAAATAAAACTAAATCGAAAAAAAAGAAGTTAGACTTGGAATTACTTTGAAGATGTAAAACAAACAAATGATAAAGAAGAATTGCTTAAAAGATGTAAAGTTTTAGATATTCAAGGAAATAAATGCGGAACTCTTTATGTTAATGACGATTCAACTAGAAATGCTATTAATCATTTATTAACTGATAATAAATTATCGAAGGATGGTAAAACTAATAATGTATGTATTTTTTTTTTGATTTTATTAAGTCAAAAAATTATAATTTAATTTATTATTTTTTTTTGTAGAAACAACAAACTCTTCCTGCTATTTTTCAGATTCAAAAACATAAAGAAAATCGTCAAAATGAACTTTGACAATTTTTAGTTGATTGGATAATTGATGACCTTCAACCATTATA